AAATTTCTATTCTCTGTATGTCCTGTACATGTGGCAGAATTGACAAATAAAGTTGACTTTGACTTTGACTCATTGGAGCAGGTTCCTGAACTGCATTTATTCTGTGCTTAGTCAGCTTTCATGGATATCATCTCTGTCCTCCTCCATCCTAACATTATCTAACCCATGCTTAATGTTAGACTTAAATATTCACCGCTAAGCCTCATCAAACTTCCACCTTTCTTTTCCCCTCACTCTTTCTTAATCAGCTGTAAGTCCTATTTTACAAGTAATGGGATTGTGATCAATTGCCACTATTGCTTCCTGGTAAACTTCCCAGCTCTAAATTCCTGCTGTGCTCTGTCTTTTTGGCCCGTCCCGTTTGGCTCTTTTGCCATCAGAATTACTGGGGAAAAGAAAGGGGAGAAAGAAAGAGGGAAAGAAAAACAGTGGGGAAGAGGGACGGGGATAAAGGGTAAAAAACAAAAACCAACAAAATAAGCAGACAAAAAATGCATATATCAATCACCTGGATCACCTGTTGAGAAAGAAAAAAAGAGAAAACAAGCAGAAAAAAAAGAGCAACACAATAAACAACATCACGATGATCTATGGGAATATAACAGTAAATACTAAATATTAAACCTGCTGTGTTTCTTGATCCTGATTTTAAATCCAGTAAAGACTCTTTCCCTAAGCTGACAGTGACCAGAGTCCCTGTTAATTCAGACTGACTAATTCCTTCTTATCTATAAGCTGCCCAATCACCTCACCATTTCCATCTGTTCTTTGTCCTCCCCAGAGTACAATGTGAGCACTTAAGTGTCCACACAGCATTATCTTCTTACTCTTGAGGCATTTTGATGTTTTTAAAACAGTGAACTTGTAGTTTTTTTTGCGAGGATTCTAAAGGTTTATTACAGTGAGAGCTTCCCTACCTAACCATATTCCTATTGCCAGATACTTCAACAGCAACATCAAGCCTATCATATCTCACTGTACCCATGTACAACTAAATCTAACCTTGGCTTAAATCATGTTTCCTGTACACAGATAACTTGTGAAAAACTTCCTCTGCCAGTTTCTTCTGCTCAGTCTTTGATGTTTTCTTCACTTTCTTCATCAGGTCGTTAGACACACTTTCCAGAAGGCAGCAACACTTTCTGCACCCTCACATCCAGTTCCAACTGGTCACAAGCACTGGCTGGTTTCTTTGTCAGAAGCTTCCAGAAACAGGCAAGAGGAACTATACAGGCTGTTGCTCAGTACCTCTACTACCGTCCCTTCACAAGTCTGAAGTCTGTAATCCTTAATCCAAATCCTCACTCAAAATTACTCTTAGAATAACCGTAGTAATGCCATCCAGTAACAGTTCAATAAGCCACATCACAATCAGCTCGTCCTGCCTCTGTATCTTCCACCTGGGTCTTCTCTAAATTCCTTTATTTGTGGAATTAGTTTTAGTTGACATCTCCCTGTAGTTGTCAGTTTATACCGAATTTTTTTGTTCAGTGGTTTTTATCTCTTTTAAGTGTAACAATTTATCCTGTTTCCAGTGTTTGTACTGAGCTAGGATAAATATGTCCTCCGCCTATCTATACAGAAATTAGTCTAACCTGAATTGGGGTAACTGGAAAGAACCATAGTACTGCACTGTTAAATATACTAAGATATATACAGCTTGTTAATGGAGAAGCTCTCGCTGGAGGCCTCCAACATTACTATCCCTACTTGATCAGTTACAAGAGTGTTTTTGTTGTGTGCAAAGGAAAAACTTATTATATATGTATTATATATTACATTTATAAAATGTATTATAAATGATTGTTCATTTCACATCTGCATGAAACAAACAGGAAATAAGAGAAGGACATGGGAAATGTTTCCAGCTCTTCTTCCTCTATCAGACATTCTCTCCATACCTGAGAGTGTCCAGTTTCCACTGTGGATCCTTCAGACCAGCTGCCAGCAGTTTCACTATCGAGTCTCCTGGATAATTGTAGCTGAGGTCCAGCTCTCTCAGGTGGGAGGGGT